CCTTCAATGCGATCGATGCGCATGCTTTCAACTGCATCGATCGACCAAAACGCTGTCGTCGCGGAGTCTGAACGCTGCTTAAGCGCGCTACTTGTCACCACCTCAGTTACTTAGAATTACTAGGCAATAACTGAGCGCCTTATCGCTGAATTGCCACGTCGCAAACTCTGAACGCATTCCGATTTTCTGTTGTTTGCTTGACGCTTTTTATCGAGTTCACTACGAGAGTTATGCTCATACTTCCTCCTGCAGATGAAGGAGGCAAAAGGATGGCATTCGAAGGATTAAGGTCAGGAGATCCGAGTAGTACCGGCACCAAGACGAAAGCCGCGCTGCGATCACCACGAGCAAGGAGGGCCGTAGTTGAAATGAATTGTTCGGTGGTGTTAGAGTGGCTGCATTTGGCGCTGCGCCAGTCCGTTTTCCTGTAGTTGCTGAAGAAAAGGGGATAGCGACAATATCTAGTGGAAAACGTTCTAGCGCCACGCCAAACTTATCGCCCTGACATCCTCCGCGAACATGACTGTACGTTTGTCTCCGCTGCACAACTCAATAGGTCGGCGTGCACGGTCCATTGTGACCGACCAGACGGCATCTTTTGCCGGGTATCGCCGCGCGCGGCAAACTCGTAAGGCGTGCTGCGTTTCCGTGATGCGATGAGATCGCAAAACGACAAATGTGTTTGCCAGGACAAGACAATCGTGAACCGCCGCGCCATCGCGCGCGGCGCATCGGGCAACTGTACATCCTCAATATGCATCAGTTTCTCAATTAGAGCAGCGAAACTCATATCGGTTCCATGATGCATGATATCGGTCTTTACCGTCTCTTCAACATTTTGATTCAGATAGCTGGGAGGTCAGCTCGTCTATCACTGGCTCGGCGTTCCTTGCCACGCCCACAAGTGCGCCAGATTACGATTGTCTTGTCACACGCAGCACCTATGTCGACATCAGTGCGATTTATGGCCAGATATAGGCGCTTTATGGCCTGCTTATGCTGTCCAATGCCATCCCTTTGCCTTCCTTCTCGAGTCGAAGAAGAATGAGCATATAGCTACAAGGGCGCTGTTTGTCGACGGGGGGGGCATTTTGTACTATCATTGCTTCCCTTAGTTCCGGTTTACAAGTCTCACTCTGGCGAAACCTGTGAACTCTTGTGAAGCTGGAACAAGGTAGTCAAGCCATGTTGTTAAAACCTGTCAACTCGAGAAGAGGCTGTCTAGATAGGCCGACACGTCGATGGGAATAGCGAAAGTGCAAAATGCCCCCCCCCGTCGACAAACTGCGCAAGCTACAAGTAATCATATTCAGTTCTCACAAATCGAGCACCGTTGCCGCTACCACAGCCTGGTGCCGTTCCCGTTGCACCAGCACAATCTGATGCCATTCCTGTTGCACCAGCACAATCTGATGTAATTCCTGTTGCACCAGCGGGAGCCTCAGGAGCTCCTGTCGTTTCTGCACCCTTCGTTGCACCGCATGTGGTCCCGTTGGAAGTTGCACCTGACCAACACTCACCTGCAACATCCACCGAAGGACCCACACTCACACCTCCGACACTCGAACAACTCGTCACCACAACTCAGAATGCACCAACACTACCGATTGCTGAGCAGAATACCGGTAATAATGCTTGTTTTTATTATGTTTTCTTGCATGGAGAGGTCCTTCTTAAGGGCGTTGTTTTGTTAGTGGCCTCATTTTAAGGAAATAATTACGATAGAATGTTAATGAGAACGGTAACAGTGTATCAAATTTCGAGTGAAGTCACTTTTGTGTGCTTTCGAAATTGTTGAAAATTGAGCGAGCGGCCGCGGAGCGTCTGACTTCCAAGAGATGTTCCATTCAATCGGAAAATCTCAGAACCTTCGTTTGCTTGTCCTCTGCAATTGCACTCTGGAAGTTTTTTTGCTACATCGGTTGCTAATTAATTATCAATTACAATTATCACTATTTTTCGGAATGACTCAGTGTTTCCAATTAACAGAAAAATACATTTTGCAAAGTTCTTGGAAAATTACCACCGTACCTTCGTTCGGTTGCACTTTGTAAAAACCGTGGGACAATGACAGCTTGCTAATGTTTACAGTGCTTATAATTCGAAAAGTGCACTTCTTCTCGCAATGACGTTAAGAAGAGATTTGTACTCAATTGTACTCAACATACGTAATTGAATTTCTCCAGAATAGTTGAAAACAAGTTAATTTAAAATTACACGCATTGCAGTGAGAACCTTACTTCGCTTCTCTCCAGAAATCGGAAGTGAGGGAGCTAAATAGTGCCAAAGCGAAGCGCAAACGGGACGGAAACCCGGAATAGATCCCTTACCTCCAAATAGTAAGAGGGCGAGTATAGCTCAGTACGTTCACCGTGGATATTTAAAAGTGCCAGGATTTCGAGGGGAAAATAAGGACACTCTACTGGCACTATCTTGGAAGCTCGTACAAGCCAAGACTGCAGAACGCCCTACCTCGCAGAGGCGAAACACCTTTCCCGTAGCTACACTCTAGATCCCTGACATCGGGTAGGCGTGGCCGCAT